TTTTTTTTTTTTTCTTTTGCAAGCTTTTATTTTGTCAGGCATGATCCGGAAGTTCCGATATGGTAATTAGTCAGAGGGAACTTGACAGCAGCTATATAACGTTGTTTACCTCCAGCAGCACAGCGCAGCTGATCGCGAGGCTTGAAAGACATCGTTGGCATCATCATGATGATGAAAAGTCAGAGCAGCGGAATCACCATGACTGAACTGGGTCAGTTCCTGAAAAACCCACCGGAGGGTTTTACTGTGGAGGCCTGCGGCTCCAGGTACCGGATCCGTTCCGGGGAGGACAGCCTGGTTTTTATTGATAACCTCCATGCTGGAGACCGGGGGGTAGTTTTCCAGAACTCACTGGGAAGGTAGATATAATTTTATTACACAGAATTAAATCTGATAAACATGCACAGATGAAACTTATGTGAACTTTATCCTTTTCTGTAATAGGAAGTTTAAAATGCACAGTCTGTGGGAGTACACCAGCATGAGGAAGAGTCTGCTGTCCAAGAAGATCTATGTGTTGGTTTCTCTCTGTGATCAAACCATCCTGGAAACCAACAAGAAGAGGGTCGTAACTTCCAGAGGTAAATAATGAATCCATTTTGCTCTAGTTTCAGAGTTTTTTTCATTTAACTGCATTCAGCATTGGTACAGATGAGTCATTTTGGGCTGCTTGCAGCTGGGTGGAGCAGCCAGAACAGAAGGCTGCAAAGAGCTGAGGTCATTTTGACCTTTTCTGTTGTTTTAAACTGCAAACTCCTACTTGCTCATGATAAAATGTCATGTAAATGTGTGTTTGCAGTCCTTCAGGAATACATTCTGTCCATTGATGGTGGGAATCCGATGATCAAGTGGCAGCTGGAGAAAGGCCTGGACTGGACCCTCTCCTCTGTGGCTGGAGAGAGCTACAGGGTGGAGGTAAGCACTGCTTTAGTTTTCTCCTTCAGAGCTGCTGGTGAAAATTATATACAGAGTTTAATAAAACCTTTCCCCCATTTTAGATAGACTTGAAGGAAATCTTGGAGGGCTTGGCTGCTGAAGGCTTTATTGCTAAGGACCTGATGAAATATAATCTAACATGGGAAAATGCCTCCTTTACCCTTAAATACTATTCTGATGCCCTGTTTGACTTCCCTCATTGGCTTGGCTTAAGCAAAAGATCATTTAAGGTAAGTAATCTGTTAGAAACTTTTAAAAAATGTATGTTATTTTTTATCCTGTTTAAAACTTTTTTTTTCTTTTTTTTTAACAGCTGAAACCAGTAAACACATGAAGGGAGATCATGACGATCCTATCCGCCAAACTTTTCTGCAACATCCGTTGCTGCATTTTGAAGAATGCTCAGCAGGAGTTTTGTCAACAGTGAGCAGCTTCTTTTGTTATGCTGGGAGTTTGCTGTTTAAGCTGCTGGTTCTGAAAGCATCTGTTTTTTTGATAAGCTGGTTTGCTGTTTAAGCTGCTGGTTCTGAAAGCATCTGTTTTTCAATGGGTGGCAAAACGCCAAAGACTGAAAATAAAAACAAAAATCTGGGACTTTTTTTGAGAATATACAGTACAATTGCCTGTAAATAGATCTAACAAGAACAACTTTTTCCAAGTTAAATTCCGTCTGTTTGTGCTGCACAGAGATTTACAAAGAAGGGGTTGAAGTCTTTTGCACTTAACAGTCATTTGTTTTATATTTTTTTGTAAATGTGGTGTGTATATTGTAAATATGGAGTATATTTTACTTAATTTTGATGAATAAGATGCAATAAAATACTTTCTACATGCATGTTTGAAGCCTTTTAATTCAGTTTTATGCATATGCAAGTTAACTTTTGAACAGCTGATTTTTGTAAAGGATGATAAACGTATAAGGAACCTAGGTGGCATTAAAGTCACATATTGGTAACAATCCAGGTAATACCATTTGAAAATCATCACAACATTGTCCAGAATGTATATAAATGAAGCAAAAAGATGTAGAAATGGGTACCAATGGTCAATCTGAATAAGAAAATTTGTAAAGGAAGGCTTTTTAACCCCTTCTCGAAATCTAATCTTGAGTGTTTTGAGGTCTTTGTCATACAATTCTTTCAAAACTATCAGAATTATTATTTAGCCCATTCAAGCAGTGTTATTTTCCTAAATTTTAAAGTTGAGGTGTTCAGGATCCTTATTTTATTTTTTTACATCAGACGTTCGTATTTCTACCCTCTACTGTTTGGTGTTATCTTCAGGATGGAAGTCTCACACTTTGAGCAGCTTACGGTTTTGATGGACTACCTGCTAATGCCAGGTCTCCTTGATATTACAGTAAATCTTTTCACTCCTCTGCAATCAAGGATCACAGTATACCTGGTATAAGCAAAATCTCACAAGGAGCACATGGTTTAAGGTGTTTTTTTGTTTTTTAATTATGCTATTTCCATTCCTATATTACAGCACTAATTGCATTCCTGGAATTCAGCATTTTAGAAATATATCTCTATTTGACTTCAGTATAATTTGGAACATAGTTTGCAATGGTCTTGATTCCCACTTCTTGTGGGATATCTTTCAAATTAACAATTTTCGTACTCAATTGGTAATTAAACCAGCCGATATGTTTTCTAATAGGGAAGAAAATTACTTTCTAAATACTATATAAATCATTTCCTGCACCTTTCTTGTCTGTCTTTACGCTTTTAAACCTTGCTTTTTCATCTGTTTAATAGTTATTTTTTGTGGCAATATGCTTTACTAAATCCAGTGTAAGTTATTGGCCTTTTCTTGCATGTGTCAATCATTCGAGTTGCACCAACATGTCAGCCTAGTGGGGGAAGTTATTAGTTATATTTACTGCTTAAAACATGTATGTGTTGAATACTTAATGTCCATCACTGTATGCAATAAGCTAAACTAAGGGAGCAGAAGGAGAGCAGATGCTGCGCCTGTGATGGTTTCCATGTATTCCTTGTAGTCGCTGCCGTAGAAACGCCACAGCAGATAGTTAAAGATTCCAATGATGCACATCATGGACAGGAAGAAGATGATGCGTTTCCCAAACAGGTACCCAGGAGTGCTGCGCAACAAGATAGCCGGTCAAAGATGGATTCCACATACAAAATAAACAGAGAGCTCGGTGAACTTGGGTACCTTTGAGAGCTCTGTCCCAGGTATCCAATAAAGTACTTCTGCCTGACGAGAAGGTAGATGATGCCAGCAAAGGCAGCGGGAGCTGTAGGAAGAAATTTGATAAAGATGTTGGGCTTATAAAACACAGTGTGATTAACAGATCTAAAATATGTTAAACCTGTTTGATCTGATATAGCATTAATATAATGACAAGCATAACAAGCTGAGAGCCTAGGAAAATGGGTTGCCAAATACAGCATTTCAGTTCCAGCGTAGCTGCTTTGCACACACATACCACACATACTGAACAAAGGTAGGTCCTGTTTTATTCCAGGTGTGAATGTGGGATGTTTTTATTGAGGAATAGAAAAGCATAAAGAGCTCTCTTTGTTACACAGCTGCTCATAAAATAATCAGACCACATAGATGTAAAAAAAAAAAAAAAAAAAAAAAAGTGTGTCCAATGGCAAGGATTAATCATTACCTTGACTGAGGCACACTCCGGCACACCACATGACTGCCAGGAAAGTGGGATAAGCATCCATGCAGTTCCGGCTATGATTGAGAAAGTTGAATTTGTTATTTAAGTCTTTATTTAACCAAGGGATTAAAACAAAAACATGATATGAAAGATGTCTTTTCCAAGAGGACAGCAAAAACATTGTGAAAATTATTAGAGAACAAATAATCTGCAATAACTGCTATCAATTACGGGGAAATCATTTGCATTGACACGCTGAAGCAATGCCTGAGGTGGTTGCTGAGAGGAGCCCCAGCAATAACAAGGAGCTTCTTGTAACTGCTCAGTTGTTGTACCAAAAAATATATATATTGTTAGAGTTAAAAGCCGGGCAGAAAAGACTGAATTAAAAAAAAGAAAACTTTCTTAGTCACTAGAGAAAAGAATTTTAATTACACCGTGATAGTTTTAGACGGGTGGGACTTTATAGTATTTTTTTTTTTGAGTGAGTCACAACTTTAAATTCAGTCAATCATCAGCTCAAAGCAATAAAGAAAAACATCAAGCTCTTTATCAAAGGTGTGGCAAATATCAACGTTTAGTCTCTAAAGGACAAAATTCCCATTTGTCAGAACCTTTTGGAAGGGTGTCAGCTGAGCTGTGTCAGAAAACTAATGCTGGTCAGCTGGATCTATTCTAAAACATGCGTGAGTGCGTTTGTGTGTGTGGGTGGGGGTGTGATCCCTGTCCTGCTGAAACCAAAACGGTCAATCTCGTATAAAAACAAATTTGTTGAAAGGTGTTTTAAGCAAATCAGGAAGCACTAAGGCTCAAGCCTGCAACAATCTGGAATATGCCGATAAACCAGGCAACAAACCTCTAAATAATTGTCATTTTTTTATGAAAACTTTGCTTATTAATGTTCATTTTTAGTATCTATTTATGTTTGTGTTAGTTTAACTTCCCTGTTTTCATTTTTTCTTATCTCTATTTCTGTCTTTTCCTCTAAAACACTTTGAATTACCTAGTGTATGAAGAGTGCTATGCAAATAAACATGCTTTTCCTCTTGATTGTTCACAATGAAACCAGTTCTATATCTACATGGAGTTTAATGGTGATGCCCAGACTAAAGCTTATGCTGCAACTGCATGTTTAAACTAAATATCCTCTGAGGAAAGGTCTGCTGAGCTGACCTTTTCTGATGACAAGAATGTTTGGTCATATCAAAATACAACTTTCCAGCTGCCAAACAAGCTCTTTTTTCCCAGTGAGACTTGTGCTTTTTTAGTTTGAGAAAAATATTTGTGTATATTAGCTATTTGTATTAAGGCCTATATTATTTGTCATTATATTGACAAGAGAAAATCCACAATAAATTCAAATTTGTGAAGACAATTCCTGCTCAAATGCATCATTTAAAGCATTATGATACACAACCTTACATCAATACCAGTTAATGACAATCAGATAAAAAGTCTTAAACATGAACATTTCCATGTTTAAGAAAAACTTTCTCCTTCAAATCTATTTTCTAAAATTAGGAAAGCTTTTGAGATTTGCAATTTCATTGTTGACATATTTCCTGGAATATGGAAGAAAGGATGTGGCCTTAACAATTTCTGTTAAAACAGGAAAGTGTTGCTGCTTGTGAAGTAATCGAGTAACCGGACAAAAGACTGTGATGTAAGTTACCGTCGCACAGTAGATATAACAGCAAATACACTTCCTCTATAGTAATAATTTTACTTTTTTTTATAGCATAAATGGACCCTACTATAATAATGCTAAGACCATAAAATGCATATTTTTTCATATAAAGAGCAAAACAAATGAAGTCCTAAAACAATAATATATGTAATATTAGTTTTTTTTGTTTGTTTTTTTTACACAGAATAATGTGTGTTTTTTACAGAATTTAAACACCTTCTCAATCAGTACTTCTTTCATTTTTAGCTTGTTTTGTTTTAAGAACACTAAACATGTCCTCCCAGTGAGGAATAATATTTGGTACACTAAATCAAATCATCTCTATCACAAAGTTTCTTCATTGGAAAGAAATAGAACTGAATAAAAAGCACTTACTTTGCACAAGACACTCGTTCAAAAGCAGACGTGTTCATGTTGCGGTTCTTGCATTCCCTCTCAACCTTTTGGGCAAAAAATACTAAAAACACAAACAGAATCTGTTATTGGCTCCACACATATATATAGATATACATAACTTTTTGTCTTTATCTCACCATTCTGAAGAACACTGATGAGTGTAACAACGACCAGGAGGTAGACGTTTTCCACCACTTTGCACGACTCCATGGCTCAATGTTGCAAACCTGCTGGATGCTGAAGCTTAGAAGGACAATGCCTCTCTTTCACATCCAGAAACGTCTATTTAAATCTACCTATGCTCTCCCTTTATGGCACCACATCTCCTGCTATCTCGCTTAAATCAAACACACAAAGTCTCTGGCTTCCTCTTTATGTAAATTATGCACTGGGTCAACTTTAAGGGGGCAAAAAAAAAGGGGTTGCATGCTACTTCCTCTGCGTCAGTGTGGGAATGAGATTATACAGACAGCATGCACATCTACAGCTGCTTATTCATAGAATAGAATAGAATAGAATATAATTCAACATTATTTTCATTACACTGTCACAAGTGCAAAGCAATGAAATTGACTCTGCATTTAACCCATCCCCTTTAGGAGCAGAGGGCTGCCATTGTGCAGCGCCTGGGGAGCAGTATGGGGTTAAGGGTCATTACTCAGGAACCCAGAGTTGCAGTCTGTGGGAGAGCAAAGTGGTGGAAAATATCTACCTCCTGATCGTCGTTACACTCATACTTTGTGAATTTTGTTTCACTTCATGAAAGGGTCTTTTTATTTGCAGAGACATTTCTGAATAATAGTAGTAATATTTAGGTGAAGGCCTCATCACAGTTTTGGTTCATCTTGGTTTTATTCTTTTAAGATTTTTTTTTTTTTCCCATAAAACTCTCTCACATCTCAGGGATAATGAGATATAAGTGTATAATTTTTGAAATGGATGAAAATAAAAAAATAAAAGAAAATGTTTTACATTTGGTTACTGTTAATCTGCTTGTCTGTCTTCCTGCCTGCCTGTTTGTTTGTCTGCCTGCCTGTCTGTCCAATAATTATGCTGCGTTGCGTGAGTAAGCTGGTTTAGCTGTAATTTTTGTCAAACAGCGCCTGCATGTGGAAAATCTGCTTCCTATTTTTCAAATTCCAAAACTCTTGGTCTGCTGAGGAATCAATTAATATAATTAATTATCCTATAGTTTTCAAAATAATTAAAAGCGTCATGTATATAGAAGTCAACTGTTTTTAACTGATGCTCATGTGTTCTAACTCCGTGCAACAAATTGATAGGAGACGGATGACATTTCAGTCATTTCGGATATGGCCTAATGACGAACATCGAAATTATTCTTTCGATACCTATGATGGATTTGTACTCAAACCCATCATGCAGTAACAATACGGGCCACGTGGATTTATACCTTTTTTTTCAGCTGTCAGAAATAAGTCCCATATGGTCTAGCGGTTAGGATTCCTGGTTTTCACCCAGGCGGCCCGGGTTCGACTCCCGGTATGGGAACTAACTTTTTCACATATACTAACTTAACATTTTGTCAACGTATCAGTTTCCTTCTACCCTAAATATTGTAGTTCTCATAATGTACATCTTACCTAAGACTCATCTCACCTACTACCTGCCTGGTTTGTTGCAATATTGATATTCTCAAAAATACAATATCAGTCCTGTCAACTAAATAAATGAAATAATGTTCACGAATGTACAGGAGCACTATGGATATGAGCATACTATACCTTCTGAATAAGCTAAGGTCCTTTAAAATATTGCAAAGTTCCGAATGTGAATGCACGCTACGCAGCAAACTGCTTCAACAATCAGAACCTGAAGATGTTTGATGCTAGAAGACCATTACCAGTCAATCCAAGTTAGGCAGAAATTCTTTTTTGTTTTTATTTGGTCTGTTGTGACAACCTTATTTTCAGATAAACTGACTTATCAAATTAAATAAGGAACAATTTAGAGCAACCTGTGTGCAATAAATGTGATTGTGAGCTAGACTACAAATTTTATTTCCAAGATAACATTTTACTGATATATACCTAAACATCTTGTATGATATGAGAGGATATAAAAATTAACACATCAAGTTGCATCTAAAGGATGAAAAAGGAAAATCCAATGATTTGAATCAATATAAAGTATAAATATTTTATTACCTTAACACAGGCGCCCAAAGTGAAAAAAACAAGACATCTGAACCATTTAATGACAATAAAAACCTCTCAGCTTCAAGTCATTTATAAAAAAAAANAAAATACAATATCAGTCCTGTCAACTAAATAAATGAAATAATGTTCACGAATGTACAGGAGCACTATGGATATGAGCATACTATACCTTCTGAATAAGCTAAGGTCCTTTAAAATATTGCAAAGTTCCGAATGTGAATGCACGCTACGCAGCAAACTGCTTCAACAATCAGAACCTGAAGATGTTTGATGCTAGAAGACCATTACCAGTCAATCCAAGTTAGGCAGAAATTCTTTTTTGTTTTTATTTGGTCTGTTGTGACAACCTTATTTTCAGATAAACTGACTTATCAAATTAAATAAGGAACAATTTAGAGCAACCTGTGTGCAATAAATGTGATTGTGAGCTAGACTACAAATTTTATTTCCAAGATAACATTTTACTGATATATACCTAAACATCTTGTATGATATGAGAGGATATAAAAATTAACACATCAAGTTGCATCTAAAGGATGAAAAAGGAAAATCCAATGATTTGAATCAATATAAAGTATAAATATTTTATTACCTTAACACAGGCGCCCAAAGTGAAAAAAACAAGACATCTGAACCATTTAATGACAATAAAAACCTCTCAGCTTCAAGTCATTTATAAAAAAAAAAAAACCTAAGTTTTAGCAACTAACAAGGCTTCAGTTTTTGCATACAGTACATACGAAAAACAAAGTGCAATTTTTTGAAGTAAAACCAAAAGATGTAGCACTCCTATAAAACCAAGGAGACAAAGGAAGCCCCGCCTGCCAAACACATCTCATAATTCTACAGTTAACCGTTATTCTAGCTTCCAGTTTAAATTAAATTGAAATTGAAAAAAGATAATTTTGACAGCTTTAAAACTGGGAGAGGAAGTCTTCTAGGAAATTGTGATCTTCTTGCTGGTTTCTATGACAGACCGCTTGGGACGTGACTCCAGAGCCATTCACTAAACATTCCAGCTGGTTGGGCCCCTCTGTCCCATTAGCCACCATCTCCAGGAAGCCGGTGCTGTCCGGGGAAAGGTGGCTGGCAGTCGTTGCCGGGGACAGCAGGTCGGACAGGATGTCATCGCAGGTGGAGCCGTCAAAGGTGCTGGAGGTGACGGTGCTTGGAGAGCCCAGGTCGGTGCTGTCCGGTCTGAGGTGCGTCATTCCTCCGTTCTCCAGCAGGTGGTTCAGCTTTGCCAATTTCTTCTTCTTAGCTTTAAGTTTCTTCAGGAGTTTGTATCTGAGGGCTTCAGTGCTGTTGAGAGCGAGAGGAACCTTTGAGCTGCTGGGTTTCTTTAATGAGGAGATTTCCAGGTGAAGAGGGGGAGGCTTCCATGTGAGAGATGCTGGTTGGTTAGGATGGGCGGCTGGAAGTAATGGAGGGATGCTCAAAGGTGATGGAGCAGGACTGGGGTTCTTTGCACCAAAGCCACCGTACATCTCTGCAGCTTTTGGTGGGAGACACTTTACTTCCTCTGTGATAAACGTAGTTTTAGGAACCCCTGGGGGAATCTGCAGCTTTTTCACGGGGTTGGGAGTGGAGTGAACTGGGTGAGATGGCTTCACTTCAGTTGCTACATGGTTTTGGTTTGGGGGAGGATCTGGAAGCTTTCTGTGTTGTTGGTATCTGCTTAGCAGGAAAGAAAACTGAGAGCTCAGAGCGCTGGATGGAGGAGACTTGTTGGTAGAAGACACCGTGGAAGTGGGCTCTGTAGCAGGATGGGTGTCAATCTGAGCAGGGCTAACAGGCTGCAGTGGCTCTGGGGCTGCAGGAGGTGGAGCATCTTTTGATGGATCTGCTTTTTTTCCTCTCAGCCTGGTGCTTTTCCTCGTATTTGCTCCTCTACCTTGTCCATGTTTGGTTTTGGGCTCAAACGTTGGAGCACCCCCTGATTCTGAATCAGATTTAGGCTCAGCCTGAGCGACCTGATGCAAACCTTCGCCCGCTGCAGGGATGGAGCTGTCAGGTAAAGATGCTTCATTCCCTACGGGAGAACTCAGTTCCTCTGTTTGGTGGACATCCTTTGAAGGCTGTATCTCCACCATAGTTAGTGTGATGATGTCATTATGAGAAAGGCCCTCGAAGGCGTCGAGCAGTGTGGAGGCACCTATCGAAGTGTCCACGTCAGCTTTACCTGTAGTGTCTGAATCGTTAGTGCCGTCGTCTCCTGACAGAGCACAGACTATGTCGGTGTCATTGTGAGAGGCGACAAAAGACTGATCTGGAGTCTGTGCCGTTTGTACTTCTTTCTTCAAGCCTTTCAACCTGGAAACCCTTTTATTCTCAGCTGGGGAGGGAGCACAGGCAGAGAGCGATGGATCCCCCTCCACCTCCCAGAAGACGACATGGATCTCCTGCGCAGGGATCTGCAGCTGCTGGTGGGTCTCACAGGCGGGGTGTTTTAAATCATCATACTCCAGCCAAGATCCTGAAGGAATAAATAATGAGTCGATTAAATTCAAACAAGTTTAGAATCTGATAAACAATGAGGCAGCATAATTTCATTCTGCTAATAATAAATCTCCAGAGTTTATGGAGGATTAATAGACAAAAAAAGATAAGCACCAATGAGCCTGAGGGGAGGCTTTAAAGTAAATTTTCTTACTGCACAGCGTAGCACCATATTGTTGCTAAGCTCTTTATTGAGTAACTGTGGGAGCTGAACAAGCTGATAATAGCAGGTTGATTAGTCAGGTGGGTGGTCAGCCAGCCTGCAGTCACCTGCTAGAGGCTGTTTAATAATGGAAGTGAAAGGGGGCGCTTCTTAAGGGAAGACTGCCTCTTTTACAACACCAAATAATTAGGTTTAATTCGATTTAGGTTTTGTCTCTTTATGGTGTAGAGGCCTTCCTGCTACCAGCTGAGAGGAAATAAGCAACAAGGAAAACCTTTTTCATGTGAAGTTTAACTTTAAACGCTTCCATTTGACACCAAATGTATCATCCAACAGACTCAGTTTGAGCTACGCTTCAGAAATGTTTCATTTAATTAAAGAGGCAACTAATGGTGGGACTTAAATAATATTAAAAGAGTATGTAATAAATAAAACAGCTGTCAATTAGAGGGGTTAACTTATTTAAAATGGCAAAATGAATATGAATGAACACAAAGACTTTT